CTCATGGGAGCATCTGCAGAACTGAAAAAGTAACAAATCAAAAACCAATAGCACAAGCAAAGGTAAAGCATCAAAAAATGAATTACTAGCTTCGACGTTTGGGGGGTCAATGCCCTGGGAAGAAGGTGGCTCATCCATTGGTTGTGATGAAGATTCTGGGACTGAAGATTTCTCTTTAAGCGTAGTCCCTTCATCAGCCGGTTTGGACGAAGCAGCCTCAACAGAGGATGATGGAGCAGGAGCTGCCAATACCAAAGCCTTCAAAGGAGAGGCTGAACTTTTCTGAGAAATCCAAATAAACCATTAGCACATAGAAAAGTTTCAAGTATGGAAAGGTATGCTTGTGAGTAAACCAATTTAATTACCTTCCTCCTGACAATGAGAGGGGTGTCATCATCATCATCAGCATCATCCTCCAAAATGGGAGATGCCGAGGCTGGCCGTTTGCGGCTTACGGCACTTTTAGCTGCAGTGGGCTTAGCAGGAAAAGAAGTCGATGGACAAGCAGACTGTTTAGCACGAGCAGGGGAAGAGGGACTCCTAATGGACAGAGGAGTGACCAAAACAGGAGAGGTGGAAGAAATGTTTGGCTGGTCCAGTGAATGGAAAGCACGACTGGCATCAGTCGCAAACAATCTGCGCTTTACTGACGGTCAGAGTTGTTCAAAAAGGGGATAGGTGGCACGGCTAGGATTGAAGGGAGCTAAAGAAAAGCTGTTCGTCAAAAGAATATTGCGAGCATCTAAAGCTTCTGCCTCTGCCTTATTAATAGTGTGGAAGCGGTCTATCAAGTTTCTTGAATAGCAAGGGGGAACGGGCCAAGTTTGGCCAAAACCAAGTTGGCGAGCAAAGAATTGGGGAGCATATATTTCAATCCCAGCTTTGGCATTGGTCCCAGTCAAAATATCATGGAACAACTCCCTCCCGATCAAAAATTGAATCCAAATGAACAGAGAGGTGCTTGCACTATCCATAGTGGATGGAGGTTGCACATAATCCGAAGTCAAAAAGGGAAGAAAAGGAAAGAAGGAAAGGATTGAATCCAAAGTATAAAAGAATGAAAAAATGTCCCTTCTGGACATATTTACAGGAGTCAGGGGATCAATGACTAGCCCATAGCAGCTAGCAGAAGGACTGAAAAAAGATGGAGCACCAAGCGATGGAAAATAGGCTCTCAACAACATTTGAATGAACCAAAGAGGCCCATTGCCAGTGGGAGATGCACCATTCTTCAATTGGGATTGAAGAGAAGCCATACCTCTATAAAGGGTAGCTAAAAGAAAGAACACAAATTTAGAGGCCTATCACACGCCAATTCGTGCGCTATGGGTAAATAACTCATGGAGGGCTTTATGCTTGGTACACACAAAACGTATTTACAAAGCCAAATCAGAAGAAAGTCCATACGCTCAGCATGTGAAGGCTCGGTGCTTGAGTGGTTATGACAGGTTTGCAGGCTTGAATAAGACTCGGTGAGTTTTCTTTCAAATTTTGGGGTGACACCAGAAATCAAAATACCAGGGAAAATGGTATCGCCCAAAAGTGGCAGATTTACTAGGGCCCCAACATCCCTTAAGGTAATGGACATAGGGCCAAGAGGGAAAACAAAAGTATTATACTCAGAAGACCAGAAACTTAAAGCGATTGGAAAAAGTGTTAAATCAAAAATAGGGGGTCGAAGAGAGATTTCTAACAAATCAGAAATTCTAGTATTATCAAAAATTGTCTTAGTAGGACCATGGCCCACAAGGAGACCGTGCCACCTACAGAAAACGACATTAGATTTAGGCCAAGTGCGAATACCTCTTTTGCGAAGTGGCCCCAGCGGCAAAGAGTTTAGAAACGGAGGGCTTTGAGTACAAGGGAATAGCTGACCGACCGCCGCTTGTTCGATGGCCTCGACGTTGTTGAATGAAGGACCTAGATAGAACTCTTTGAGTTCGACATTGGCTGGTGCAAGGAAATTCGGAGTTATATATGGCCGAGTGAGGAGTTTCTGGAAGTCTTCGAAACTGAAGGAGTCACCAGACTGGGATTGTGAAGCGGCCATTAGGGACGAAATAGAGTTTTTCAGAGTGACGTAGCAGAGAAGCAAGGAGATGAACAGTAATATTGCGAGAGAGAAGCGCGAAAAAATGAGGAGTGATTTAGTGGTGCAATGAAATGACGTATTTGGGGGTTATAAGGGTTTGCAAACGTCGCACCTTTTCAAGTTATGGAAGAAAACAATGATTGAAATTTTTTGGAATTTCGAATGTTGTTGGGAAACACAAAGTGAATATGGCAAAAATTAATAATTGGTATTAATTCTACCATATTGGGGGGTAATTGTTGACACACAAAAAGTTCAGCCCAACTCGAATAGTCCAAGGAATGAAGCCCAATTGGAAGATTCCCAAAATCAAATAGCATAAAGAACGACCCAATCAGGCAATGCAGGATAAAGGTCCAAATAGGGAAGCCCATGAATGCGGTAATACCATCGCCCAAGGTTACAAGTCGCCCAAGATTTGAGCGAATGGATTGCCATGCAGTCGCCCAGAACTATTCCCCTGTTCTCGCCCAAACCTTCGAGTCGCCCAGGATCTTAGCAAACGTAAGATGTTATGGTTACCCAAATGTGCGGTTAATGGAGCAGCTATTGAGTAGCCCTATCACGTTCCACGATTCAAGGAATTCAATTGAAAACGGTTGAACGACAAAAAGTAATGGCAGCAGTTAGAGAAGGCAGTTCCATGACAAGTTGGCCACTATGAGGAAAGTGGCAGTTATAGAGCGATCAAGCAGTTTTTAAGCGGTTGATCACGAAGAGATCATCCAGGGAGTATAAAAGGAAGAAAAGATATAGAGCAAAAAACTCCGAATCAAACACTCTCAAACAGAGAATATGTAACTTTAAATTTCTTAGTTTAGATTTAAACACTTCTTTTCAGTAACTCGTGTGCTTGCGCCCTTTGGAAGCATTCTATTTTTATTTTCCAATTGTAAAGTCATCGCCAATAAAAACACCCTTTTTTGGGACTTTGTCTCAAAAGATTTGTCCCTTACACAATCGTCTAATCCCTTTTTAATTGTTAGTGACTAACCCGTGCGAAACAGTTTCCTTCCAGGTTTCGGCTGGATTGAGCTAATTTATAATAAATCATGTTGGTTGTACCTAAAGTTGTTAATTGTCAGTTCAAGGATATACATAAAATCAGGTTAGTGATGCTCAGGTGGTTACTATGTCTATTTTTTATGAATTTTATTAATAGATAACTTTTGTGTATTTTATCTGAATTTTACTAATAGATGACTGTCTATTTTGTATGGTTTAAAAAATATGTAACGAAATTTTATTCTCAATTGCAAGCACTACCAAAAACATTTTTAATTATGCTGTTTAATTTGCATATTTTATTATAAAAACATAAAAATATCTTTAATTATATTGCTTAATTACTGTAAAAAAATATTAAAAAAAGAGAATTAGTTAAAAAAAATATATATATAAATGACATATGATGCAAAAACTAAAGAAAAAAGAAAAAACAAAGGTCAAAAAATGTTGCAAAAAGATGAGCACAAAAGTAAAGACAACAATCAAAAAAATGTTGCAAATAAGTTAAAGACAAAGTTCATAAAATATTGCAAAAAGAATATCGACAACATTTAAAGACTGTTGTGAAAACTTGAAAACAAAGCAAAAACAACACTCCCTAAAACATTACAAATGAATTAAAGACAACGTTCAAAAAATGTATTAATAACATTTAAAGAACGTTGCAAAAAGATTAACACAAAAGTTTTTACAACATTAATATAACGTTTCAAGTGACTTTTCCGTAACAATCAGTCAACATTGCAAAAAACAAATGGTAATGCCCCTTTTGCAATAGTATATAAATGCTGTCATATCTTTCACTCGACATCAGGGGCAGACACAAAAGAAGGCATGTGGTCACGTGACCCCCCAACTTTTGTACAAATTCCTTTATTTTTATCTTAAATTTTTTGATATTTTTGTCTCAATTTTTAAACTTGTTACACGATATAAAATGAAGTAGAAATATTGCATTCTTAATACCATTTCGAAGTACTCACAACCTAATTTTTTACATTGTTAGTAGCGCATGTAATGACCAACCATAGTAAATGTTAAATCTTGTCAAAGTAGGTCATTCCAAACTAGAATTCCAAAAATTTCGATAATATGCTAATTTTAAAAATTCTTCGACTAAAAATTGCCGCTCGTTTTGAGAACTATATCATAGACATATCGAATGGTCCAAATAAACATCGAAAGTAGTTAAAGATGCATACAACGTGAGTCTTAAGAAGATGCATCTAACCCTTTTTTCAATTTTTCAACTATTCCATTAACATTTATTATTGTTGCACAACAAATTTCTCAATATAATTTACCTCATTTTATTTGGAAATTTTACATGGAGTATAACATCAAATTTTTTTGAAATATTTTTACATCCAAAAAAGTCATAACCTATGTAAATTTCAAATGTAAAACTCGAACGTAAATTTACGTAGGATATGATTTTTTGGACGTAAATTTTTGAACGTAAGATTCCTCACAACTTTTTTATAAATTTAATTGTGTCCCCAACTCAAAATGTATGTGCTCGCCACTGACATCGAAGCCGGCAACATATACCCAAATATTGCAAAAAAAGTCTTTCTCAATGTTTTTTTGAGTGGTGCGGAAGATAATTTTTGTTGTGGTGGCCCTTATATCAATACGGGAGCTGGAAAGTGACATGGAGGACTAGGAGGGTGCAAGGATGGCATAGAGGTGAGGAAGAAGATAAAATAGAGAACGTGATCACCTAGATAAAACGATTATTAGCTAGCTTTAATGTGAACCAACTGGTGCTAGATATCATATACGAAGAAATGTGATTTATTTAAAACACAACATTTTTGCAAAAAACTAAACGAGTCCAGGCTCATTTTATTAAATTTCAATAGGTACCTCAGAAAATTCAAAATTATGAGATGTAAATTTCCAAAATAATAAAATTATGTTTGGGAAAAGATCAAAAGTCTAAATTATTCTAAGTGACAGAGGCTAAAGCATGCAGCAGCATTCCTCAACTCACTTTGGGATACTTGCTCGCTCGACGACTGTGTTGTATCCTTCAACGATGATTCCGAGCTGGAACGAAATTTAAAAATTAAAATCATCCACAAGATCTAGTTTTTTGTCTATTTCTTCGGTTTTAAATTAAACTAAAATATAGAACAATTTAATACTAGTATCTATTGATGTTGTAATAAATTGTGATCACATACCTTGACTCACAAGCACCCTTTGTTTCGATATAAGATTGTCTATCATCAGGTAGAGTGTTAGAGTGCATTTGCTCGAAATCTTGAGAAATTTCTTGATCTTGTGGGATTTCATATGCGTCCATTTGTGCTTGAAGTGTTATAGATTGACTATTGTTCATATCACAATAAGGGTCAAATCCCAACATTGGTCTGTCCATAACGTCACTGGATTCAGCATAAAAACCAATATTTTCATTTGCAAAAAACTGATTATTCATTCCAAAATTAGTCATTTCATTTCTCAGTGATGACGGTTGAAATGCCTGAGATACATCATTATTTGAATACATACCGAACTCTGGCTGTGGTGAAGACGAGTAGTGTGGAGTGGATTGCCTGTTGAACTGTTGCCTATAAGTCTCGAGCTGTGCATAAACATATCGTAGTTCTTCAAGTGCGTGTTGCAACTGCAGACGCAATTGGCATATAATAACAGAACAACCGTAAACTGGAAACCTCTCTCGCATATCAGACTCATATATAATAGATTTCATTGCATCCTCCTTTTGGTCATTCGTCTCCAAGTTACCGAGAATCTTCGTAATGTTGGACACCCCAAAAAGCCGGTGCACATTTTGAAACATTTTAGGTTGATTTGCTGGGAAGTAAGGCGCAAGAGGGCAATCTGATGAGCACTTTCTTCTCTGATACTTGCACGCAGCACATGCTGGGCTTGTGCCGCCCTTCACTGTCATGATAAACTGACTAATTATGCGTAGAATCCGAATCAGGAAACACAATAACTGAAACATATGGATATTGAGAGAGTGAGAGAAGAGAATCAACTTATTTTTACTGAATTTTGATCAAGAATGCAAAAATTTGAACATGTAGAAATTATACAGAGATAGATGGTGAGAGCTTATTCCGATTGAACTTTGATCAAGGAATGCAAGGGAACAAATATATGTAGTGAGATAAACTTATACTTGACCGCACGTATGAAATCTTTTTATAGAGAGAGAAATACCATATACTGATCTCAGTGAGAGTGTACCACATGTGAATTTGTTGGGATCACATAGACTGAGTAAACATATTTTTAGTTCCCATTCTTTCGGGGTTTGTTTGAAGAATTTCAACGTAACTGGGAACCCTAAGTTCACAATACAGAAAAGTACATGTCTGTTCTGTATTTCAATTTCATAAGCCAATCATAATCACCTTCTTATCAGATGATATATAGTTAAGAAGGTGTATAGCATTCATTGGTTAATAATTACTCTGGTCTATCAGACCAAAGTAGGGAATTACAGTGTCTCAAAAACTTTGACAGCTTCATAAATTTATCGGCGATAAGGTTGTAATACTCAATAAAAATCTATAATACTCCGAAATGTTAAAGGTTACACTGTCTGATTAGAATGAATTTGTTAAAAAAGATCTATAATCTAGAATCATATACTTGTATTTGAAATGAGAATGAGATTAATTTGACTTCTGCAATCCTCATCCTATGGATAATTGTGTTTTGCAACTGTTTGCTATATAACTAATCCGATTTCTTGATTAAAAACAACTCAACTTGTTCAGGTAAATCGTTTTATTTTAACCAGATGACAAGTTTGTGCACTTGTTTAAGTTAAAGGATAAATTCCACATCTATAAAAGATGAATAAATAGATCAATTTATAAGGGTTTGAGCTACTCCTCGTAACCCCCATTAAATAAAATTCCATTTTTTCTCTCATATTTTTTAATCACACAATCTTCCATAAAATAATATTACAAGTAAATCAAAAAAATTTCATTCTTTTACAACCGCTCATTCTCCAAAAAAATATTATTCCACCTATTTTAATTTGGAAAAATGGGGGTCAAACGGGGGCTTAATAAGGTTAACATTTTAAGATGGAACCCCAAATTTTAACAAGATATCAGAACCTATCAAATTTCAATGAGCAATTTAATCCGATGAATACTCAAAAATGAGTATACAAATTTTAAGATTAGTATGCTCAAATGAGGCTACTTTTCTTAATAAAGTTAACCATTTAAAATATAACACCAAGACTTAACAGTTTGCATGTGTCTCATTTACATGTAAAACTTCATAACCCACGTTTATTACATTTGATCGCTCACAAAATTATCCAATTACCATTACACATAAATATATATAGTTGGAGATCTAGAGAAAATTAGGAGGACTAATCAATATCGGTCCCTTTCAGGTTTGAATAATAATTAGGGTCCGTTTAATAGTAAAAATGGAATTGAATTGAATTGAAAACGATTTTCAGGGAATTGAATTGCCTAAAAATTATTTTCCTGGGAATTGTAAATTATTATTTTTTATTGGTATAATTTTTCACGTGAAAATGTTGAAATAAAAGTGTTTTTTGATGTTCGTTCGGCTTTGTTTTACATGAAAATTGTCAATTAAATAAATGAAATTTATTATTATTGAGAATGAAATTTGTTTCCATTGCCAAACAATAATAAAAAAAAAAATAAGAAATTTTGCTATTTTTGGGTGTTCGTTTGACTTTATTTTACATGAAATTGTCAATTAAAGGGAAATATTTTTTTACAGTAATTTTTAGAATCTATTTCCATTGTAAAAAACCAAAAAAAAAAAAGAAATGAAAAAAAATGCTGCTATAGTAACCAAGAATTGGAACCAATTCAAGGAAAATGGG